CCCATTAAGCAACATAGGAATTGAATATCGTGCAGCTCTCATTCTAAGGCGTTACTACTGCTGTTCTCTAAGATTGATCCGAACTTTTTGCGCTTTGTTCCCACTTCCGAACATTAAAACGTATAAGCTGAAGGATTATCTATTCAAAGGCTTTCACAATTCTGGATGAACTCGAACTTGTGGCGCACGCCTGGACTGGAGAACGTACTGAGGGACAGCACTGCCCCACTTATCGCCCAATAGCTGGCAAACATTCTTTTACTTTCGGATATATCGAGCTAAAGCTGGTATTAAAAACTCTTAGCCCCTCATGCCGCATCCAATTGCTGGCGTGTCAGCTTTAAGGTAACGAAAGCGGTTTTGTGGAAAGTAATGCTGCTTATCATGCGAACGATCTGGAGACTGGAATGTACGACGTCCAGGGCAACCAAACGTCCCACCATTTCCGGCTCGATAAGCCATTGTACGTACCGAACCACATTCTAAACGTCACTGCGATTCTGAAGGAAACTACAATGCGGGGCGCACCCCAAAAGGAGACTGATTACGTCAAATGCTTCTTCCTTTTCTTATCCCTTAAGCCAGCGAAAACCACTTATGGTTAAACCATGCAAATGCTGCCCACGCTACCACTCTGGGAAGTCATTTTACTCGATCTATTCTACATTTACTTCCAGTTCCTTTATGTAATTATAATTTTCAGAAGCAAAAATAATGCATGTGTATTATTACTATTTATATAGTTATTGATCGATTATTGATTAGTGATGGGGAAAAACACGAAAAAACGCTGGCATACTCGACGCATGGCGGCCCAAAACAAGTTGACTTCTCGAACATTTTGTCACACGAAAATAAATATGTGAAACGGCGACTGATGTAGGATTACGGAAACAAGAAAAAAATTGAATTTTAAATCAAATTCGAAAATTCAGAATTATTACTTAAAATTACGATGTCGACTGATGTGAGCACTGGCATCATTGGCTACGATTGTGTTGCTGTGATGCCCTTTCTGTGCCTTTGTTGGCATTAGTAACCGATGAAATGTTCCTTGCCCTATGTGATTGCCCTTCTAACTTCTACCTATCTCCACCCCTCTCTACAGCTAACGATTTCTGCTGACATGTTTTTCCCGTTTCATGTTTTTCTGTACGTGGTCCAAACACGGCTTGCCTTCCACTACTGCCATGTCTGCCCATAACGTCTTCGCACGCTAGACAGCGCTCGAATCCGAGCCTTCTCCCTCACCGCACCATCGCGTGCTACCCATCTGCTTCTCTCTCACTCTCTAATCAGCTCATCCCACGCGAATTAGTGAACAATTTAAATGCGATGAACATATGCGGCCGCTCGTTACAAATGCCGCCCCCATTTATGAACTCACATAAATCACAGTACCATATAAGCATGCATTTACTCATGCAAACATTTTGATAACACCATCTTGATGACGTCATAAATGTACAAGAATTAAGCTGAAATTATGTTTAAATAAACGAGAGTATTTTCAGTTTTCATGAATCATATAGCGTCATGTATATTCAAAAAGGGGATCTTTTGAACATTCATCAGAGTGCCTCAAAACCTAGCCTATTGTCGTCATATTGGTCAATACATGTTCAGGTACAGGTGTGTTTACTTATTTACTGAAGTCAGAAAGTAATGAGACTCCAGCGTTGAAGAATTTTGTTTCAGCAGAACTTTGATCTAAAAATTTAAAATCAAATTTTTACACTTCTTTCAGAATTCGGATCGTTTGGATGTTGACGTCAAAAGTTGCTCCCAGTCATCACTGCCTGATGCTTTCGATGCGAGACCAAGCTCATTGAGAGGTACAAAAAGCTTATCAGGTACGTCTCAAATGGTAAATATGAATATGTCGCTGATAGTTCATGAAAGCGAAGAAGGCTGTGAGAAGATCTAAGTGTTTGTCTATTTGTTGATTTATTTATTTACAACGTTGTGGTCAAAGCAAATGAAAGAAACACGAACACTCTATAAGGAAAATTATGGACAGGTTTAACAGAAACTGAACATCATTAGAAACTCAACAATATTCGTACTTTTACGTATGATAGCTGTTCATTCGATGATGATTGAGAACAATGGAAGGAAGAATGAGGAAGTCAGCAGCCAATGTCAGGGTTTCCTACCCCCAAGGAATTTTACCAGTTGGCCGAGGCCGGAGGAGTAGAAAGTTTGATTGGCCTGGACTAAATTCGGCCGGGAATTCCACCCCGGGTTATGTGCGTGGCACGTCTTGCCACTACACACCTCCCCCATTTCATACCTGAGAACATCATGTGTGCGTTTCTATTGAACGGGGTATTGGAATCAGTGCATCCACGGGGATCCACAAAGAATCCACTTGGGGGCAGGGTCAACCGTACGTTGTTACTAGATATAATAGTAACAACGGGGGGTCGTACTTGGTTGAGTTTGTAGGAGGGGGGGGGTCGTACCCGTTTCAGTCGCTTGAAATCACATGTGAGTTTGAGGTGAAACTGAAGTTTTTATGGTAGGCTGGGTGAGTTGAGGGGCGCAGGAAAAAATTTGCCGTTTCAGCGCGCGTATATACCCCCTCCCCGCTCGACGGCATTTTTGGAGGAAAAGTGGGCGGGAGTTTGGTGGGAAGAGGAGATGGTGGAGGTAGGGAAAAGGGGGTCGTATCAAATCCACCTTGGGGGAGGGGGGTCGTAAAAATTTTCGAAAAGTAACAAGGGTTGACCCTGCTTGAGGGGCATCTTGTATTGTTTGGAGAGGGGCCTTAGTGTGGGTGCGATCGATCTGAAGCTGCATCTAAAAAAGCTCGGAAATAATTTCGAGGAATTACCAAAATTTATTCGTCTATTTCGCAAGAATGCTGGGTTATGAATAAAAAAACTGAATCAGGACGAAATGGTGCCCCGGTAGAATTTGTAGCGCCCTTGCCCGAGACGCGAGAGGTGCGGGTTCTAGTCCCGCCTGGGGCGAAAGTTTTGTTCACAACCCAGCATTCTTGTGAAACATTTTGCAAGGCGAACTGCGGCCAAAAACAGCAGTTAACAATCAAAAACAAGTCGAATTCATGCCATTGTTTTTTCGTCCACTATTTATAATGAGTTCACTCGCCTCTTGGAGCGACTGAACCTGCAAAGAAAATTTAATATCATGTTTTTTCAGATATTTTCATTTTCTGCTGCGCTATACCCTCTTACCTATCTGCACCACGATACCACTGCTGTTACTGACCCCCAAGAGTACGACCCCCCATGACCCAGCCCGACAGGTACGACCCCCCTGTCGAGGATTTCCTCGACCGATATTCACCCTGCTCTGGACTGATTGCTGTGCGAAGTGTTTTACCTTTCCGAAAGAAAACGCAGCGAAGACCCGCTTGCTGGTTTTTATACTATCACAAAGATGCTGATTTGTGATCCGAACCTCCGCACCCAGCCGGGATTCGTGCCCGGATCTCTTGCTTTCCGGGCAATTGTGCTACCAGTTACACCACCGGGGCACCATTTCACCTCAACTCGCATCCTTGTGATAACATTCACAACGCGACGGGAGAGGATGGGCAGCTCCAGAATCAATAAAGACGAGAATATGGATTGAACATTAACATAAAGTAGGAGAATATGGATTGAATGTGTGGGATCCAGGATACTTCAATGGTCTTCACCGAAAGTTGCTCCAAGTGAGTGTGTTATTAAAGTTCCTATTCCAACTGCTAGAGAAATCCAAGGCACCAGAGACGTCAATGGAATGCCCCCAAACACTTAAACACCAACACGGACGACTTTCACTCAACTACTTGCTCCTCAAAGGAAAACTCGATTCTCAGTTCCAATTGGATTTCTTCTTTTCATTCTTTCATTCTCCATTCTGAATTCTTTTCATCCTATGATGTCGTCGTGTCGTTTTTCTATCCGGGTACACTTCAACGATCACTCCTAAGCCGTTAACTCGCCAAATCAACAAACTAATCCAGAGGCCTATTTTGCGCTTTTTTCTGATTCCTTTCTCAGTGTTCACCATTTCGCACTTACACCTCTTATTTGTCAATATATTGTATCTCACAAAGTTTCTTTAGAAAATTAGGAGATTAGGAAAAGTGGAAATTTTATCTAAAATACATAAGTTATCCATCGACGGATCTGTATTTGAAATCGACAATTAGTTTTTGTCAGTTGCGAAAGTTGTGTGCAAGTTTGGATGCGTTTCGAAAAAAAAAGGAGTCTGGAAAGTTGAAAACAAGGCGCTCTGATTGAAGTCTTTGGAGGAAGCACAGGATTTTTTCTTCCCTTTTGATGCCCTACCAGAGTTAAAATTTCGTGCATTCTCCACTATTCTAATAGCATACTAATACTTTGGGCAGCGCTATCGCTCGGTGAGAAGGAGCCTGTTGGATTCTTCAATTTGAGTACTTCTCTCGCATAGACGTAGGTAATTAGGTAAAATTGTAGAGGAGTTTTCTTTTGGATTTTTTGAGGTTAGGATAAGGATAAAGCAGTTGGTGTTGATCCCTCTTTTGGATGAGCCGGGCATTCTGCCCCCAATCAGAAACGTAGGGGCAATTAAAATGCAATTTCGCTATACAAGGGTGTCGGGCTAGCCGATGTTAGCTTAGCATTTTTATTTCCTAGTACAGTACCAATTGATTGACTCCAAAAGTTTGGTCAGGCTGTGCTGCTCACGGCAGAAACTGCGCGCGTAGAAAGCAGCGTCACCTGCCACTACACCTCTCTCGCCATTTGCTTATTTACGAAGGAAATGAGCCAGTGTGAAGGAATTAGGTTCCTAAGCAGCTCCTAGTGGCGCACCCGAGCTGACTTAAAGGCTTCGTATACGGATAAGTCGTGGTTCTATAACAGCCATAAATCACTGGCTTGAGACTAACATTCACGATAAAAATGAAAAGAACAGGCGAACAATACGAAATACCAGACTGTTCCGCGTTCAAATTTCCGCCGTACATCTGTCACAAATGTTGGCGACGGGAACGATTCTTTTTTGGTTTTCGGAGTGCCTTCACTAGGAACTCTTTTCGGCCTTCTCCACCTATGGACAAAAACATTCCTCTTTTTACTGCACCCTATTCTATCAATTCTTCCATCGATCGTTTCCATTTCGAATGCTTCAACGCGATTCTTTCAATGCATCGCCTGATACGGGAACCCCCGAGGCGTACTTCTTTCCATGCGCTCTTTGTCTCCGCCCGAACTACCTTCGACCGTCCCCAGTGTAGTTTTCGTGGGTTTGTTTCTCTTCGGAAACCGAATCTTCTTGCTAGAAACTTTATACACTGTCCCTAGTGATCACAATTTACATATTTATGAAGAAAGAACGAAACTTTTGGGAAAGAAAGCAGTGATATTCCATGATCGATTCCTTTAATGAGAGCCTACCCATTTTTTTCTGCTTTTGAAATGGCCTTTAACCGTCGGCGCTCTGTTCATTGCAGTGTGACATAGCAGTGCATTTACACTAATGACGTCAGCAACCGTTGGAACTCGTCCCCATTACAAAAGCAGTAGGCAAAACATGGATCCCATTCCGCGAGCCTCGAGCTTCTCCCTCATGTTTTGCTTGCTGCGTCACCAATTAGCTTTTTGGCCATCTATCCTAGCGCACCAACTGGCTTTGACAAAATTTCCTGCAAAAACGTTAATAATGGATATGGCTGTCAAATTACTGTCAATTACTGCGAAGTAACTCAAAGTTCGCTTCAGATCTGGCGATGGACATGACACAGGAACGGGCATCATTGTCATCTCGAGATTTCCCCACATCTGTCGGCGTTGACGAGCCGACAACAACGACCGCTGCGACGACAACAACGGCTGCATCAGCCGTACATGGATGCTATGATACCCTAGCGAAATCGTATAACAGAATGGCTTACGGCTATTGATATACAGGAGAACAAGCAAAACGTGTAACACGAGTTTTTATAGTATGGTGAGAATGTGGGCGGTAATTGAATGAGTGTTGCACTGTTTAGGGCTATCTTAGTATGCAGTGAGTAGTCTTGATTTTTTCTCAAAAAAGTTTTCGACCTGCTTGTTGGTAATATAAGAATGAGGGCTGATCGGAAAGTAACCCCACCGGCCTTTTTGTGAATCTTAATAGCTAATTCACGAAGTTTGTAGGTACGCACTGTCGTTCTTGACCGCAGGACATCAACGCTCTGCCACCTTTTCGATTCCTTTCTCCCGAATTACGGGAGCTGGGACGTGAGGAAGTCATGGATTGCTTCCCCAGCATCGCTCTCTGTCCCAAACTTTTTGCCGTGCAGTAAAGCCGAAGCTGATCGGAGAGAGGGTGACCGGTCGGACGCGATAGGGATGTATGTAGGTAGCCTGGAGTAACATCATTTTATACTTTTCCACCCCAGCCTAGGTCGTCCTGCCATGTTGAAGTCATAATGAAGATCGATGACAGTTCCCAGTCCACACCAGTGATCAGGGCTGGCTACTAATAAGTCTAATCTCCTGAAGGTTTAGCTTCACCCCGCGCATTTTTTGTGGCTTTTAGATCATTTTCAGCGCCTCCTATCTGGCGAGAAATAGAAACGGCCTATCAGTTAAAAAATGTACTCAGCAAGTGTTTTGGATTCCAGCTCTCGTCCTTGGTGGAAAAGGTCAATGAGAAGCTGCCGCAGTGCTAGCGTCGAGCTTAGAGCGGGATGGTGCCCTGCGCTTCAGAAAACCAGAAGCGCGTAAATGCAGAACACACACCGAAACACGAACACCGAACAGACGAACTTCCAGTAAATGTTGTAATCAGTGATTCATAGTGATAGCTGATTTCTGGTAAATGATAGTTGTAATTAGTGACAACTGATAGAATACAACTGCAACAGGCTAATCATTTCATTGGCAGAAAACATTTACATTTTGTGGAGGCCGTCGTCACTTGTGGTGTGTGGTCTGCACTCGACGCTTTCCGGTTTTCTGGATTAGAATATATTTCTAAACTCCGGACCGGATCGTTATTCAATTACTACGGAAGAGTCGAAGCGGGAATCTTTCTGTTCAATCTATTACATTCTATATTTTCTATTGAGTACCTTATTTGAAAAATTCAAATAATTCCGAAAATCTAGTTCCTGAATGACTTGATTGGAGTACACGATTAGACCACTTCCCATGATTGCAGCAAACCCACTAGGTCAGAACGCACGCGAGATTGTCCGTAAAGATGCTACGAGAAATCGGTACGATCAAGAAAAACCCTCGTAGCTTAGTGATTTGCCAAAACTCGATTCTGGACCAACTTAGGCATCAAGGTAACTCCCCCCCCCCCCGACAAGGCTGATTCGGCGTCCATGTGAAGAGAACTGGTTACGGGTCGTGTAACACGGAGTGCGCCAAAATTACTTGCTCAAATTTCCGCCCTTGTAATAACTGTAAAACAATAAATTGAGGGCTCGTTTCTGATAGAAGTTTACGAATGAAATGCCATTACCAAACCCGGCTTCACATCTCAAAGTGTCTCTTTCGGCCTAAGCTTTAGCCTTTAGTTGCGAGGAGAGGTCGTCCACTGTGGCGCGTAGGTGCTCCAAACAAATTTCTTCGAGTAGAGCAGGTTCCTTCCTCGTCTGGGCTGCGGCTGGGTGGTGTTGTTACGAGCAGGCTCTCTAGAAAAGTCAACACAAAATATTCCACTCTGTTGAAGTAAGTACTTTTGATTGACCGTAATTGAGCGGTATTGAAACCCTGGCTGGTGTTCTCGCGTGCTGCGATGCACCTATACTTTATCAACTAGTGGTGCACACTGCAGAAACACGAGCGGTCCGGAACCATTGTGGGATTTTCTCCAGGAAAGTTAGATGTTAGTCAGCACAGGCCAACCTCTGCTTCAGTT